TTGAATTCCACGAAGTCTGACTCTTAAGGAGCTACTCCATAATTTGTATTGGCCTTGTCCTTGTACATCATCTTCTCATTGAAAATCACATTTCTGCATCTGATAATCTTCCGATCCTGATCATCCCAGAAACGATAACCAAATGTTTCATCTCCATAGCCAATGAAATAACATTTCTTTGACTTAACATCAATCTTGCTACGTACATCAGGATTGATTAGCACATAAGAAAGACAACCAAAAGTTTTAAGATGAGAAAGTTTAACCTCTTTGCCGCTCCAGACCTCCTCAGGTGATTTACAGTCTAATGGGACAAATGATCCTCTGTTGATTAGGTAAACCGCAGTGCTGACTGCATCTGCCCAGAAGGTTGGTGGTAGTCCTGCGTGTAATCTCATGCTCCTAGCACGCTCATTGATGGTTCTGTTCATGCGTTCTGCAACTCCATTTTGTTGTGATGTCCCCGGGACGGTCTTCTCCATTCTGATACCTTGAGTTGCACAGTACTCATTGAACCCACCATCAATGTACTCACCACCATTGCCAGATCTCAAACATTTCAGTTTTAGATCTGTCTCCGTTTCAACCATTACATCAGATTTATGCTTCAGAAAGTAAACCCATACCTTTCTGCTGTGTTCATCTATGAATGTGACGTAATAGCGAGAACCTCCAAGAGATGCCACTAGGGAAGGCCCCCACACATCGCTGTGTACTAATTCTAGTTTTCCTGCCTTTGGCATCCTCCCACCTTTCAGGAAACTGATCTTCTTCTGCTTCCCCATGATGCAACTTTTACACATGCGGAAATCAACAGACTTCAGTTCTGGTAGCTTGCCTTTGGACTGAAGCTCTTTCATACCTCTCTGACTCATGTGTCTAAGTCTGCAATGCCACATGTCTGCTGTGTTCTCTGCAACTGTGGTGTCAACATTATTAATTAGACCAGTTGTCATATATAGCGTACCAGTCTTCGTACCCCGAGCCAGTACCAATGCTCCTTTAGTAACCTTCCAGGTGTTATCAGAGAACACTACTGAATGACCTCCCTCATCAAGCTGCCCAACAGATATGAGGTTCTTTTTCAGTTCAGGAATGTGTCTAACCTTTTGCAGGATCCATTTGTTTCTGTTAGGGAGTGCAATTTCAACATCTCCCATCCCCACCACGTTCAAAGCTGCTCCATCAGCCAAGTACACTTTCGTCACCTGAAGCATAGTTTTTCATTATCTTCCGGTGAGAGGATGTGTGAAAAGATGCCCCCGAGTCTAGTATCCAATCGTCAACAGAGTTATGAACTGCAAGCAATAGCGCATCCTGCACTTCTTCAGTTACAGCGTTAGCACTGATGTTTTCCGTCTTCTTAGGATTTTTACAGTTCTTCTTTATGTGACCAGTTTTGCCACAATTCCAGCAGGTTGCTTGCTGACCAGGCTTTGACTTGCTCTTGCTTCTATGCTTTGATTTCGACCTTCCTCTGGCTTAAGTTCCTGTCTTGTGATCTCCCTCTGGAATCAACATTCAGTGCTGAACTGGAACCTGAGATCTCGCCAGAATCTTTCCTGCGCACATTTTCAGCAAGAATCAAGTCATAAATATCATCATATTTCAGTTTGATTTTACCTGCAGAGTTGCTAACTGTCATCCTCATGGCTTCCCAGCTATTTGGTAATGAAGCTAACAATATCAGCGCACGTATCTCGTCGTCAAAATCAATTTCAATGGATGATAATTGATTTGTAATAGTGTTGAAATCATTCAAACCCTAAACAACCGACACACATTCCACCACCTTCAGGTTGAATAACTTTTTCATCATGTGCACCTTGATATTCGCCGATGACTTTTCATACATACTTGATAGGGCCGCCATAAGATCTGCCGTCGTCCTCACCTTTAGGACCTCGATAGGGTTAATCGAATAAACCCCAGAACCTATCGATCCAACAGATTCCAATCAGCCTCTTCCATCTTCTCCGGTCGCTTTCCCAGTAGTAGAAGATGAAGTTTCTTCCCGTAGATGTAATCCTCTATCTGCATCCTCCAGTATCCAAACTCCGTGTCGTCGAACTTCTCGATCCCTGAAACCTTGACTTCGTCTCCGACCATCGTTCTTCCTCAGATACGAACCTGAGCTCTGATACCAATTGTTGTGAAAAACGACGGCAATAAAACGAAAAATAGATCGAAAAAATTACACCAGAAACGACGACACAAGATTTACGTGGTTCGGCAAATTGCCTACGTCCACAGAGCTGCAGATGATTTTATTAGCTTGAGGAAATTACACCGACCACGTCGACTTACAAGAAAACAATCTTTCTCTTTTTCCCTCCCTCTCTTTCTCTCCCCTCACCTTCACTCTCTCTTCCTCTCTCTCTCTCTAACCTAGAACTACAGGAAGAGGAAGCCAAGAAAGAAAAAAACCACACAGGACAGTGTGCCAATGCCAACCGGAATCTTCCCCAAGCGAGAGCCAAGCATGTGGTTTTATTAGCATGAGGAGAGGTGCAGATCAATGCCCATTAAGGAAAACCAAGAAACAAATCTTCACACCATTAATAATTCCTTCCTTCACACCACGTAAGGAAGTGATTATTTCCTTAATTTCGTGATTCTGAAATAAGCATGGAATCAAGCCTTAATGACCCATTAAGATAATGTTTATTTCCGTGAGCCATAGGAAGAGGCGGGATTCCAAATAGCTTAATATGTAAAGCACCAAATAAGCTCAAATAAAAAAAAGGGGCAATTAATTAATTAAGGATTAATTAGCTTCCTAAATAGTGGACCGGGCTCCATAAATCCAACAAGTTGAAGGCTCAAATTCTTTTAAAATGGATCTAAATAAGTCCAACTTTTCATCTGATATGCAACTCTCATACAAGCAGACATAAGACATTTTATGACTTAAGATAAAATGACGTGCATGTGCTCTGACCAATGCACTAACTTCTTTTTCAAGTGATATGATAATATTGTGTAGACAAAAAAATATTTTAAAAATCAAGCTTAATTTATCTCCAAAATATGTGCAAATAATTTAAAATTAATTTAAAAACTATATTATTTTTAAAAAACCAATTCAAATAGATTCTCATTCTCCATAAAACAGGAGAATAGTAAGTTGAGAGCTAAATTTGAACTCACAATGATAACTTAAAGCTAACAAACATTGATAATTGTTGACCATCACCAGCAATTATTGTTATTTAACTACTACAATGGTATTGTTATTACAAAATTATTATTTACAAGCTTTAATTATCTAATTACTATCTCTAAATTATTGTTGTCTAATTATTATTATTATCATTGTCATTTGATAACCCTCATTATAATAACAAAAGCAATTATTGTTATTTAACTACTACAATAGTATTGTTATTACAAAATTATTATTTACAAGCTGTAATTATCTAATTACTATATCTAAATTATTGTTGTCTAATTATTATTATTACCATTGTCATTTGATAACCCTCATTATAATAACAAAAAAACAAGCAAGCGATCATAATCTTATACTCTTTTATTGTCTATTTAAGGAGAATAGTGAAACTTGGTAATTTCAGTCAAACAACAAATTAATTCACCCTTGAGGCCATTGTAGGCACCACCGCTTGTATTTTATTTCAATTTTAACGCATAACGGTCTTTCTTTAGGCCTCAGTTCTCAGAAAAAAATATTACATCAGTACTAGACACGTAGAAGTAACGTCGTAGTCAATGAAATCACGTCCCGACACCTCGCACGACAGGAAAAAAAAAAACAGCGCAGTAACACGGGGAATATTCCCCCTGTGTTATTCATGTGTTATTGTGTGTTATTGCCAGTTATTCATGTGTTATTGATGTGTTATTGTGTTATTATAATACCAAGAATATTCTCAGGACACAATAATACATGAATAACTCACAATAATACCTGAATAACACGAGAAATATTCCCAACAGAGAAAAAAATGACGCAGTAGGAATATTCTCACATGGAGGAATATTCTCCCCCGTGTTATTCATGTGTTATTGTGTGTTATTCATGTGTTATTGATGTGTTATTATGTTATTATAACACCAGTAATATTCCTAGGACACAATAACACATAAATAACACACAATAACATATAAATAATATAAGAAGAAATATTTCTCGTATGGCTGCACCATTTTATTTGCTACACAAGTTGCTACGAGCGTACTATGTAATATTTTTTCCAGTTCTCAGCCCTCGCGTCGGTCATATTAATCTCGCCGAGCATCTTTATAAATAATATAAAAAAAAATATTTCACGTATTGCTGCACCATTTTATTTGCTACACAAGTTGCTACGTCCTCGCGTCGGTCATATTAATCTCGCCGAGCATCTTGCAGCGTTATTCTTTCTCTCCTCCCATTCCTCTGCTTTTTTTCAACCCCATGATGCTGATCCAAGCGAGCACTGCAAATCGGATCCAAATTTAGAGTAGCCATTACCGCTTATCGCCGACGATCGCCGCAGGCACAACATGAAGAGCCTGACGCAGGCGCTGGCAAAGACTGCCGCCGTGATCGAGAAGACGGTTCAGACCACAGTGCAGGAGGTGACGGGACCGCGTCCTCTCCAGGACTATGATCTTCTCGATCAGATCGGATCCGGAGGCCCGGGTCTCGCGTGGAAGCTCTACGCCGCGCGGCCTCGATCTTCTGCACCGTCCACGCAGTACCCTGTCGTATGCGTCTGGCTCCTGGACAAGCGCGCGCTCTCCGAGACCCGCACCCGCGCCGGACTCACTAGGGCTACCGAGGATAGCTTCCTCGACGTTATCCGTGCCGACGCCTCGCGTTTACTGCGAATCCGTCACCCGGGAGTCGTCCATGTCGTGCAGGCCCTTGACGAGAGCAAGAATGCCATGGCTATGGTCACTGAGCCGCTTTTCGCCTCCGTAGCCAATACTATTGCTCAACTGGACAACATTCCCAAGGTTCCCGCGGAGCTCAAGGGCATGGTATGTGAGCGGCGAGCCTCATCTCGCCCTCTCTTTCCACTTCTCCTATGTAAATTCTTTGCGTTTCATATTTGGAAGATTTAAGCGGTATAAGTTCGTCCCGACCTGTTGTCCGGGACAATTGTTTTAGCTACCTTGAGCCTAAATTCAGCATTTAGGTGATGCCATACTGGTTCGAGCTTGAGTTGCAGGTCTGCTGATTCCTTTTTCTGGAGTGATTACCATGGAAAGTTATTAGTTTATAGATGTGAATTTTGCTTAGAGATAGGGGACATTGATAAGTTGCACTTCGAGCAAGGGCGGTCTATAGGGCTAACCGCTCAGTGCTCGTTTATTGATCTGGTACTTTACAATAGGGGACTTAGGGTTCTGGATAGAGGCTTGTTGATTTTGGTTTATTTAGTTGAAGCTATGCTGACAATGCCTTTCGAAATTTGCATGGTGAAATTTGATTTGGGTATGGAAGCATTGCTAATTGTTTGTTGTTTTGGGGCATGGTCGTGATTTCCCATGCTATATTGAAAGTTGAATTCGTTATTTTTTTCTCAGTAATTTAAGAGGAGATTTGGAAATCTACATTCTACATGACAAAATTAGTTGCAGCAAAATTTATATACTGTACTAGTAAGAGTTTTGGCACGAAAACACCATTTTAAACTTTTGGAACCTTCAGCCCAAATATTCAAACACTTCGAATATGTCTTAATGGTTCAAATCTGTTAGACTTCTAAAAATATTCTGATGCTGTTAGCTACTCTTTTTTCTGTTCTCTTTCCTCCCACATCTTGGTCAACAAAAATGTGTGGCTAGAGCAATGAATTGTCGTGAAGGATAGCTAGCAAAAGTAGTAGGAAAGATAGGTGGCATGGGGCAATGACTAATAATCTAAAGCATAGTGGTCAAGGCTAGCATTGATCATGGCCAATGGACTACCCACACCCATTTAATTATGCCCTTCGAAATTTATCATGGTCTTGCTCAAATTAGTGATAGGCTTAGTGGGCTACCCATTAATGCCTATTTAGGCTTTGACACGTTTTGAATAAAAACTATAGATTTACCTTTTTATATAAAAATTCACTTCATTTGCATGTTGAATCAAAATTGATTGAATCTTTTTTAACTCGCTCTTCAAGTGAGGATGTCAAGCCCTGGCATTGTTTTGAATGGAAATTTATTGTGTGATTGCACGGTCCAAATTTGATGCGAATCAACTCAAAACCATACTATATTTAATTGACATGTATGTAAATAACACTATTAGTTGGTCCATTGATGATAATTTTGTTTTAATTATAAGTGAGTATAGGTTCAAACTCCTCGTTCAATAGTTTTTTATTTTGTTAATTTTGTTTCTTTAGGTGGCTTACGATGGCTAGAGGCGTTAAATTTAAATGATAAATGGATTGGACTTGAGCTATACAGTTTAATCTATTAAAGTTTTGACCAATATTTTAGGTTAAAAGGCATCCCAATCCATTTGACACCTATAGGCAACCCATGGCACTTACATGATAGAAGAGGAAAGGCTAAGTTTTTTCTGGATGGATTCAGACCTAAATATTTTCACCCAAAACATTTTTAGGCAATGAGTTAAAAATGGCTATAAGTGATATATTTATAAGCAAGGCTAAGTATTTTGTGATATGCTCATAATACTCAAGAGAATGCTTATTTGCAAGTATTAGGAGTTTAAAGTAAAAGAAATGTACGAATTTTGATTTTTTTTATCTTTTGTCTATTTTCGTTAAAGCAAAACAAATGCAACATGAATTTTCAATGGATTTAATATAGCTTAAAGTTATTTTCTTCCTGCAATCTGATTTGCTTCTTCACAAAAACCTCTTTGTAAGTTTCATACTTTTCTCCTCATCTTCACGTCACTTGTTCTCCTCTCTAGCATAGTATACATGATCGAGTGCTTCTCTCATCGTTATCTTCCTTATTTCTCTTTTGCTTGCAAGCTATCTTTATCTCTCTGGTTTTGAGATTTAGCAAATTACTAGCCTCTTCTCTTGATCTTCCTCAATCTTGTCATTCATAATTTTCCTTTGTATTTGGCCCTTGGTCATAGATCTAACCTATCTGAAGTTCACAAAAGAAAATATAACTCTTCTGCATTTAATTTACTAGCAACAAAATTATTCTCAAGTAATTAGAATAAACTGAATTTTTAAAATGTATGGGTTTGGATTACTTGGAACCAAATAACACCTATGTTTGGATGTTGTCCTTTACTTTTTCTTCTTTTAATTGAATAGTTGAAAAAAAAATTCTTAGTAGATATTTTGTTTAAATAATATGATATTTTTTATTCATGTAGATGTAGATGTAGATATAGATATAGATGCAGAGATGTAAAAAAAAAAAATCCTTTTAGTTGGATTACATTAGGGATCGACTTTAAGTCCATATTTTTTTACTTTAGTTTTGGATGCCCTTACTGGACATTTACAAGAGGATGTACGTTCGTATATGCTTTCACTGATGATATCCTTCTCGTGGATAAGACTAGAGAGGAAGCTCAGAAAAAACTTGATTTATGGAGGTCTTCATTGGAGTCTAAAGGCTTTCATTTGAGTAGAACTAAAACTAAATGCATGGAATGTAAATTTAGTAGTAGTAGCTCTAATGACAAAGTAGTAACTATAGGTGATCAAATTATTAAAGATGTGAACGCTTTAGTTATCTCATGTCTATTGTTCAAAGTGATGATGATATAGATGTGGATGTTATTAGTGGAATTCAAGTTGGTTGGTTGAAGTGGAAGAATGCTTCGGGCCTATTTTGTGATCGAAAAGTACCACAGACTGAAAGGAAAATTTTATAAGATGGTGGTGAGATCTGCAATGTTCTATGGCGTTGAATGTTGGCCTTTAGAAGAGAAGCATAAAACTAAGTTAAGTTTTGCCGAGATGAAAATGCTTAGGTGGATGAGTGGCTTGACACTTAGAGACAAAATATGAAATGAATATATCTGTGATAGGGTTGGTTTAGCTCCAGTGGCAGACAAAATTAGAGAGAGTCCACATAGATGGTTTTGTCACATTAATCGCCGACCATCTAATGATCCGATTAGGAGAGTAGATGTTTTGGATTCTACTTGTGTTGAGAAATTCAAAGATAGACCTAGAATGATTTGGGCATATTATATAAAAAATGATATTAATTTATTAGAGTTAAATGAAAATATGACAATTAATAGGACACAATGGAGAAAAAGGATTCATGTAGCCGACCCCACTTAGTGGGATAAACGTTTGTTGTTGTTGTTGTTGTTGTTGTGCAGATGTAAAGCTGTGCATGTTTAGGCTGTTCTTGTTTTTAAACGAGGAAGAATTATTGAAGGGGTAGATATGGATGAAAAGATGTTTAAGGAATCATGGAGGATAGAATTCAGGAATTCTTCTTGAGTATTTGGGTATTACCAAATAAGTTTTAATGATGACTATAACGGGCTATGAATTTTCTCATCAGTCTTGAACAGGATGTAAATATGTAGTTAACAGTATTGTTGCTGCTATTGTAGAGAATCTTGCTTACTCATGCCAGTGTCCGGACTAGAAACATGTGGTTGTACTTTTTAGGATTTTGTGTTCTTTACTAGATAGGCTCTGCTATTTATTATTTCCCTAATGCTTGCCTGTTGCTAGAGCCGCAAAATAATTTGCTTTATTAATCTTATCATTTCCAAAAGCAGCTCATCCTGTCTAATTTGTTTCTTTTTTTTTTTTTGGGTGCATTAAGGACGTATTTTGTCAATTTAATAAATAAAGTTATGCTGAGGGATGTCTAGAAAAAAAATATAAGCATGAAACAATGTGCTTGAAGTCCTAGTAAAGCAGGGCATGAACTTTATGAATTTATATTTTTAAATTATTTATTGTCTTAAGTGTAGGCCAATTAATTCAAATAAAAATTATTAATTGCATATTAATGATCCTCGTATGCTAATATAGATCCCATAGTCCGTTCAAACATTAATTATGCTCATGACCTTTAGGATAACAGAGGGAGCTATACAAAATGAACTAAACAATTAGTTGATGCGATTGTTGAGTTGCTTCACTTGTATGTCAAAATAAGGAGTTAAAATGACGATATATTTTTGCTGAATACATTTATAAATGCTATATTCCAGTTTGAACATTAAAATATGTCCATGAACTGTAGGACAACTAAGAAAATTATAAAAAATTAATTAAACAATTAGTTGATCTAGTTTCGAACTAAAGAGTTAAAAAGAGAAAGGAGGAAAGGAACAAAACATCACATTTATCAAATGGCAGATTAAGGCTTGCATCTATTTAAATAACAAAATTTTAAATTTTTTGCATCTAAAGCTCATAAAACATTCATGTCAACCTAAAAAAAGTTTTTTACTGCAGGAAGTAAAGATATGCCTTGCAAATTATGATTGAAAAAGAAGTTCAACAGTTAAAAGGGTTTTTTTTTAATGATAGCTTCATCTGAAGTTAAAAACTGAACTTACGTATTTAATTTTTCAACAATGATGATGAATTATTCATATATTGTCCTATCATGGCGCTGTGCTAGCCATGCTTCATTTCTTTCATTTTTTTTATTCTTTTTTTTTAAAGTTAACGATTATTCTGATTATTCCGGATAATAAAATAAAATTCAACATAAAGTGTGTGTGTGTGTGTGTGTGTGTGTGTAGATTAGAAATGATGGATACGCTTGTTACCATTCGTTTTTTTCTTACAATTCCAATTACGACGGTGTAGGTTGAGAAAAACATTAATATCCTTAGCTTATTGATTTTTTTTCAATTGCCTTATCATTATCTAGTGATTTTGTAATTTATCTGATTTGTTAAGAACATGAAATTATTGTAACAAACTTGTTATGGTTTCAATATGCTTGGCAGGTAATGGGGTTGTTGGAGATCAAACATGGGTTGCTGCAGATTGCAGAATCATTAGATTTTCTCCATAATAATGCTCATCTTATTCATCGAGCTATCTCCCCAGAGGTTAAAATGCTATTCCTAAATACTTGTATTAGCTTTTTACGATAATATATTAGCTTGATGAATAACATTGTTTTGCAGTTTAGTTTCTCAGCAATCTTTGCTTTTAAATTATGGTGTCCAAAATATGCTACATTTTTCTATCTGTTGAATCTGTTATTATGATAATTTATCGCGTGCTTTTTTTTTATATTTTTGTTCCCTTCATCTTTCTTATTTTTCTCTAAATTTCTTTGTTAACGTTAATTTATATTCAAATACTCTATGATTAATATTTATATGGTGATTACCCTCATTAGATTTAAGTACAATGCTACCATTTTAAGCAAGCCTGACAAGGTTGGAACTCTGTTAATTTGAATATGATAATCGATTGAGTTCGTTCGAGATTAGCATGATATATATTAATTTTGCATCCAAGTTTTTTTAATTTGATCTATTATAAACTAGTACCTTTGATCTATGTTAAGCTAGATGTGAGGGGAGAGGGTGTTGCACTCCCACAAAAGATGAAGGCTGCTACCTGCTGGATGATATAACCTTCATGATAGCCAGCTAATGGGCAACAACGATGGCTAAGGTAGGAGAGCGGAAAGCTTTCATGACTTGTCTAACTAGAATTATGGTGGGGGAAGGAGGGAGGGAGGGAGGGAGGGAGTAGTTCAAAGGTATTTATAGAATATGATATACCATGTTTTGAAAGCGCAATGTAAGAAGCAAAGCTGAAACTATTGTCTTTTAGTTTTTTTCAAGATTACAAAGCACAAAGCAAACCCATGCTTAATTAACCACATCACATTCCTATTGTAATTATATGTATTACCTATGCATGAAAGAACCTAACAAAATTAACGTGATCTATTCCAATTAAATGCACTAGATATCAAGCTACATTACTAAGTCTAATTAGGTATATACAAATTATTTTTTTTGAACACTAAGTAATATGTGCCTTCATCTTATAAAAATAACACTTGAAGTTTAACTTAGTGAACAATACTATTTCTTAGGGAAAAAAATATAAGAAAAAACGAATCACTTCATAGGTTATAGTTCATCAACAAAAATGAAGAAAGAGAAATATATTTTCCGAAGAGTATTCCATTTTTCATCAAGAAATGTCGATTGGATTTTCTTTCCCATCAAAGGGTGAGGGTTATTGTTTTAGATGTAATTCTAATTCGCTATCTTGACCGCAATTTTTATAGTTCATTATGTAACAACTTGAACTCTCACCCATTGCGATTTTGTCTGCTTTGGCCTCATGGCCTCCTAGTTTTGTCCCGTTGGTGTAACTTTCCAGAAAGTCACTAATCCTATGAGTGCTTTGACACAAACATGCTTAATTTTGGAGTTTCCATAGAAATTTCAATTTTTATACCAAAATGTGCTTTGATGCTTAAGAATTCAACTTCATTCTACTTAAGTGGCTTCGTAATCTTCTCTACATAAGTAACTGACATGTTCGTCGGTGCTTTAAATCCAGAATCATCCACTAGGCAAATAGGTTTTAGAGGCGACCCTTACAGATTCAAGAGGCAGCTCTCACCATGTAGCACTTTGTCCCATCCAAAGTTTAAAAGATGACTCTCATGGCGTTGCAAATTATTCTATATGACACATAATTCCCATTTCACTATTATTAATGTTCTGATACCATTTGTAACAACCCGAACTCTCACTCATTGCGATATTGTGCGCTTTGGCCTAATGGCCTCACAGTTTTGTCCCAAAGGTGTGACTTTTCAGGTCACCCATCCCAAGTGTGTTCCCACATAACTAGAGTTGCTATCAAAATCCCAATTGTTACACCAAAGGCGCTTCAATGTTTAAGAGTTAAGCTTCATTCTACTCGAGTGGCTTCACAAATTTGAAGTTGCTTTAAGAACTCATAAATGTTAGTGTAGGCTGCTTTTGAAGCAATATTCTGATTGAAGCTTGGTTTTGCAAGGGACATTGTGAGGAAAGAAATTTAAAATAATAAATTATTAAATACCGTCGACCGCCCCTATTATCATCATTTGCTATTCCACAATCACCTCCCCGCTAAATCTGCTCCCAAAACACCTTCTAGGTGTCCTAGAACGGTATCACCACCTCATCATCCCCATAGCCATGCCAGGACCCCTTCCTCCTCTCTCATTGATATCGTGAAATAATGATACCATGCATTGCGACTACCTTGAACCTTTGAAAATTAATTCAAAACTGGTCATAACCTTCTCCTCTAATTTCCCATGCATGGCCTACTTTTCTCCCTCCATTCCCTTGGATTTGGCTTTTGTATCAAGTGGATAAAGACCATAGTCTTATGTTTGGATAATTATGTGATTAACGATTGTTTTCTACTTTTCCTTGCTTATTTATGACCTCTAATGATTGTTTACCTGGGAGTGAGTTATCACAAATCTTGAGGGCTTCCAAGGAAGGAAAAAAAATCCCTGCAACGATAAACTTCATAAATGTTCAACTTATCCCTACTCTGACATCAATTACTTCAAATCTTTTACATTTCAGTTCATCAATAATATTACATCCTTTTTACTTATCTCCTTTCTGCCACCAATTACGCCATAAATGTTTATTTATCTGTTTTTTTTTTTTTTTTTTGCTTTCATAAAGGATTCAAAATGTTTATTTATCTGTTTTTTTTTTTTTTTGCTTTCATAAAGGATTCAACATAACACCCTTGTTACATTCTTATTATCATATTTGTGCTCCATAATACTATTTTTATCGTTATGCACTTGCAAATAAATTAAAAATTACCGGTGTAATAATCATTCACATTTAGTTTGTATTTATTCTACATTAATTTGCATTCATCCCGCATTTTGGCTGGCTGTTATGATTATGTTGTACAAACATAGCACAATCTAGTTTAGATAGGGATGCTATTTTGGTGGCCAGGCTGATCCCTGCTGATCTTGTTGGCATACTTGGAATGCACATGATGAATGCACTTTGGAAGATCAAGCGAGTCAACTGACCGTTCTTTGCTGAACTCCCATTATCAAGTCCTGGCTGAAGGGAACTAAGCGATCTTGCAGTTTTTTTTTTTAATTCAATTTTTTTTAATAAACATGGGTTCGTGCTGAATAAAAAACAAAATGTGAAGATTAGTCAGTTTTTCAAGTGGTTCAATTTTTTGCTACTTTTGTCCCTGGAACTGCATATCCGTTTTTATATTTTTATTTTGATTAAGTTTATTTAAATTTCACTTCCGTGAACTAAAATGCAAAAGTTTTTAGCTTCTTATCTCGTTTTGTGTCTTTTCATGCCATAGAAGCAGATGAAGCTGAAGAGATATATATTTATTTGTTGAGTTTTCTTCTATTTAGGGTTTAAAACGTCACATTTATTATCTGTTTTTTATTTTGCTTCTAACATGTTATTTTCTTTTGACAATAAAAATTTTATTTAACCAACAACAGCAGGATTTGACATATCAGTTCTTATTTGTACTTGCAGACTGTGTTCATTACTTCTACTGGAGCTTGGAAGCTAGGTGGGTTTGGTTTTGCAATACCTATTGATCAAGCCTCTAGCGACTTGACAGAAACACAGACTTTTCACTATCCGGTAGGTCTTTTACTTGTGGTGAACTTTAGCTTTATTCTGCATAAGTTTTTCTGACTTATTACTGCTGCGTCTTTTTCCCACATTTTTTTGTAATGCCTAGCTTAATAAACAATTCCTGGAAGTTTGCTGAGTTCCAGCACTCCACTGTGCCATTTTTCTCTTATCTTTGGCCAGAATTTTTTTTGATACAAAGGGATTGCTGGCTTAATACTGTTTGTTCGTTTGCTCTTTTAATTTTTAAATTTTACTTTATTTTTTTAATTTAATTTAGTTTTATTGATATAAAAAGTGCTTCATTGACAGCTTATGTTGAAATGAGTGTATTTTCAGGAATATGATGTCGAGGATTCCATTTTACCACTCCAGCCTTCTCTCAATTATACTGCTCCAGAATTGGTTCGGAGCAAGTCTAGCACGGTTGGAACTTCTGCTGATATTTTCAGCTTTGCATGTCTTGCTTACCATCTGATTGCTCGAAAGCCACTATTGGATTGCCATAACAATGTTAAGATGGTTAGTTTCATTTCTTTATCATGAAAAAAAAGATGGCACGTACGTCTGCTGTAGTCATAAGTGTATACTTATGTTTATTTTTGTCTCTATTCAGTAGTTTCTGCTTGCATGCTCTTCTTTTTTCTTTGTTTATGACCTTAAAATGGATTAAACAATATAAATTCATAGCAAATTGTGTTAGTTGAAAATTGAAAAATAAACCCTATTTTTTACATCCGTCAAACATTAACTAGCAAATATTGTTGACTGGCTGTTACTAATTTGAGGGCTGATTTTTAGTTTTTTTATTTTTTTTATTTTTATTTTTTGTGTGTGTGGCTAACTGCATCATCATCGGGAAGGCAAAGTTCTGGTGGGTTGTCATTTATTGTAAGAGGAGGTAATGACTTCATTAGGGGGCATGTATACATTGCGCTAGGCGAGGTTCAATTTACTCCATTATTGATTTGCTTTTTTTATGCCAGCGTTGGTGTCATTGTTTGGCTTGCCCCATGGAGATATATTTTGGAGGAAACTGGGTTAATGACATAGAATTTGGGATTTTTATTGGCTTGTGGCCAAGGATTGAATCCAAGGATTGAATAGGATTTTTAATAATGTTGATCTAATGTGAGCAATTCTCTGTAGGTCTCGTGTTTGCTGTGTTGCAATGCACACTTTACTGATTTTAATATGTAGAAAGCAGTTTATCTTGCAAATTTCGGAGATTCATGCCTGTGAAGGTATAGAAGTGCATAATATGTTATCTTGTTTTTCTTTGCTTATTATCTATTATGAATTTTGTAGCTCCTGATTTGAGTTGAAAGTCAATGTTGATCCCTGTGCCTTCTTTGGTGAAAGTTGTGCCACAAGCATGCTAAGTTTTGAACTTACTTTTTTTTTTGAGAAATTTTCATGTTAAACTGATTCTTCATTTTTTTGTCCACTCTAGGTCTTTCTTGAGAATTCCATTGAATATCTCTTTTGCAAATTACTGGCAGATGAGCTTTGTATAATCTATTCTTTATGTGCTAGGAGGTGAATCCTCAATTTTCTTTTATAAGATGTTCACCACCTATCAATTAAGTATTTAGAAGCTTGATTTAAAATATTAGAACTTCTCCAAACCCTTACAACGATGTATGAAACGCACAATAGAGGGCGTGTTTGGGGCGGTGGTGCGTTGGCATTGTGATGCCGCATCATAGTTTTTTCTGTTTGGCAAAACGTTTTCTGCTTTTTAACAAAAGTTGTAGCTGAAAGCTGCGTTTTATTATTAGGCTTGACTAAGTGTGGTAGCTGCTAGAAAGCCGCGGTCATACTTTTTTCAAAAAAAAAAAATAATAAAATTGTAATAGCCATTGTACCTTTTTGATCAACAACTTTTTCTGCAACAGCATCATAGCTGCTTTTTCAAACAACTACAACTGCGCTAAATAAATCCAGAAGCTAAGTTAGTGTTGAGAAAAAAAGGAAAGATTTTGGCTTTAAGTACAAATAAATTTTTATGAGCATACAAAAGTAGGCTTAGCATTGATTGAGGATTAGTGCAACTTTTAATGGACATTTATAGACCTTAACAGTGATTAATATCAAATATGAAAAAACCTTCCTACCTTTTGCCGCCCTTTTTATCCCCTCGATCATATGCCGTTGGAGCCAAGCATTAGTAACGGTGCACTATGAAGGTTTCGATGAAGTAATCAATAAGAACAAAAACTTTATACTGATATTTGAGAAACTTTAGTTATAATTTGCATACAATTGTCTCCATACAATGAAATCAAGCAATTAAATACTATTTTTTACAAAATAATTGCAAACTAATAATATAGGAAAGCAGTAATCATATCTGTAATGCTTTAATTCTCTCTACTTCAAGAAAACTTGCGCTTGAGTCTTGTGATTGTAAAGATAACCAATCTAGAGAAAATATTTTCATATATTAACATCATCAAATGAATCATAAACACTCATATTGGTAGGAAGATCAATATTGTAAGTTTTATTGCCGGTCTTTCATAATACAAGAAAATAACCATTCTTCTTAGCTTTCAGCTTGTTAGAGAGGCCGACATTGATCTACAAACTTTCTTGTATGCAAATTAGCCTTATTAAAATAGTTCTGCACCTCTTGATGGATTTGTTGAACATGCTCCACAAACATCTTAGCATTGGAATTGGCAGTAGGAGGGCATATATGAATCAAATCAACGATATGACTTAAAACACTACTGTGTACAACTTTTGTATACTCCACGAATAATGAAATCATTGGGCGCACCATTAAAAGCAAACTCTATGTATGGGTGGACAACATGTCCTTTAATCATGTTTTTAGAGTCCAATTAGTCGCTTCAATGTGCCTATCGATCTATGGATGACTTGTACTAATATACCTTAAAGAATTATCAAGTACTTTCACAAAGCTCGCCAAATTATCGCTTCCTTCTTACCCTTTTTTTTTTTAAATATTTGATAATTTGCTTACTTTAATTTTTTAATTGTGGACTAGAAACTAAAAAGATTGTGGACTAGAAAGTAAAAAAGTTGATTAGTTGTTGGTTCTTTTTTATTATTTATTACTATACTTGGTTATTTCTGTGTGGGGTCTTTCTCATTCACTATTATAATGTCTCTCTTTGTTCTTTTCAAGTTTAACAGTTCTAGGATAACATTTAGATTTTTTATTGGTAGCTGTACCAAGTTTTATAAATTTCTACCTTTCGACTAAGAGAAAATGGGGTGTATGAAATATATTTCTCCCCTTTCTTTTCCTTCTCATTTTTCCATGGTATCATATTTAAATCGCTTCATTAAAAGAAGATGGGAAATGATTTTAGGCGTGCCCTTGGTCAAGCAAGGATGAGAAGAAGTTTGTTTCGTCTTCTTCTTCACCCCAAGTGTCACTATTAATCACTATGCATGCATGAAATATTCCCTCACTCAATTTTTTATTAAAAATTAAGCAGTGAAGATTTTTTCTAATCATTACTTTTGGTCCAACTGGCTGTATGTAGGAGAAGAAAAATTAATATCTTGATGATACCTCAAGGAAATTGAGCCAATTGATCTTCTCTATACAACATAGAATACTAAAACTGCATTAATAATGTTTGCTCATATTAACTCACTGGAAGAGCATTTTGGCTTTCTATATTTGGTTCATAACATTGCGATAGGTATTTGGGAAATGATTATGATGGTTTATTCAGGACATACCATTACAACACACCTTTGTAAATGAAGTGATAAGGCTAATGATCTCAAGCGTTTCTTAGAGTATGAATGATACATAATTCTTATTAAAATTTGACAAGAATTGGATATATTTGAGCCCAATGATTGTTGTGGAGAATATGTAACTAGTAGAGAAAACTTGAATCTTGATGAATTTTTTGGGAGTATGCTTGGAATGTGCTGATTATAGCATATTGAAAAGTTGTTTGTTTAAGTTCTAAGAGTGGATAGCAAATGGTGAAATATGCTTTGAAAATTTAAATGTGTCTTGCAAACCAAAGTCTCGGCTCTTGCAGACAAAGGTTTGGGTTAGGTTCAGATAACTTATCTTCCTAATGATTTAAGGCATTGTCGGCCGTTTTTTTGTTCAACTTTACTTTTGTGATTTGAAAAAGAGTGATGATTTTGGGATTTTGATTAAGAAACCAACTAGGCAAATGCGATATTTTGGAAGGTGTATGGGAAACTAATCAACTGAGGCTATCCTAAGTCGTTGGGGATCAACGCAGAGACACCCTCACTTGTCAAGGCAATCTTGTAATTCACAAGATATTTTTGATGAGATTGCTGAAAAAAGAGTAACTTGATGATATGTATAAGCTACTCATGAAACAAAACTATGACCTTTTTAATCATAAACATAGTTTTCTGTTAGCCCTTAACTATACGGAGAAAGAGCACGAATCTTGGACAATAGATTTAGGATTTTCATATTACATGATAGGTTGTGCTCAACTATTTTCTTTCCACACTTGCATCCAGCCAATTGTCGGGCCTTTATCTTTAATTGATGGGATTTAAAAAATTAAAACTAATTTTGTTAAATTTTTATATCTTTTAAATCTACTTATAATCTATTGTCTAAAAACAAAATTTTCAAAGATTGTGACTGTAAGGTCATAAAATCATTATGAATTTCCGGCCTAGAGTTTAATGAAGAAGATTAATAATGCTACTGAGCATGGGGTGCTATATTCTACTCCGTTGAAGGCAGTGATAAGATTAAACAAGATCATATTTTGAGTTCATATTTTTCTTCTTTTACAACAAGATATCAAATGTTGTTGTCATTTTAGAATAGGATATTTTAGTTTCCATGTCTCAAAACGTAATTCCTTTCTCGTCTAAGAATAATAGTAATATTTAGTGTGAATTTTGTCAACTATTCAAACATCAAAAGGCGGACTTTAAAATTGAATCTTATGGAGCCACCAAAATATTGGCTCTCATTTACAATGATATTTAGGCCACTTTTTGGTCTCAAAATCTTTACAGCAAATGTTCGTTTAACTTTTTTTTGATTATCATACTTTTTTATATTGAATTGTTATAAAATAAGTCTAATTTTAAACTAGCCTTTTAGATTTTTATAATGTAGTTATAACTTAGTACTCCAATATTCTAATCTTGCTCCTAGTTAAATGGATGTAGTTTTTTCAAGTTGAATTAGTATTGTGAATCAAACTTTTTTCAAGTACTCATCAACAAAGTAGAATCATTGAAAGAAAAAATTGACATCTTTTGGAAGTGACTAGATCTTTTATGTTCGCAAACACCCTAAAATTTGTTTGGGATGATGCTATCCTTGGAGCTTGTTACTTTGTATTGGATGCTTACAAATGGTTCACTTCTAAACTCTAATTGAAGTTTTTTGTATTGCGTTTTCTTAAACTTGCACTATTTCAAATTTATCCCTAGACATTATTTGTTGTAATACCTTTGCTTATAATTATGAACTTAATTGAACTAAATTGATTCCTATGTCTTTTTTCATATTAAAA